ATAAACAAAGAGACCCTGTGTTATGTATTTATTTGTTTTATTTAAATAAAATTAAAATAATATATAAATATTAAGAATTTATTATAGTTCCTTATTAAAAAATTAATCATATTGATTAGGATTTTTGTTTTATTCCATTGGTATTTCAGACACATAAACCTAAAATGAACCATCTAACTAATAGACCAGCAATCAGATATCAAAACGTTTTAAGTATTTATTATATTAATTAATGAAATACATTAGGTATTTCTTCATAATGTCATCAATTCTAAGTTTGCGGAGCGATTTTTATATTTGGAGATTCATTTCTCAATTCCATGATTCATTTTCTCAATTCGGTGCTCTCTCAATTCGATGCTTAACATTTCTCATAAACCACTTCATAATATTTAGTGACAATGCTTTTTTTACATTCAGAATGGAGTAACATTTATTTTTTTGTATTGAAACTACTTAAAAAACTAAATATAAATTTTAGCACCGAATTGAGAAAAAATACACCGTACAGTAGAAATGCCCTAATGTGAACTATCAAAATTCTAGTTAGTAACTTGTGTTAAAAAACTGATAATTTAATAGGAATGTAAGTACGAGACAGCCGTATTTACTTATTAGCCTAGCCGCAGACTATAGACTTTCCGTCGACCGATAGTTGGGCCCGATTTTGATTTGTATGAAGAATCGGCTGATGTAATGTGCGCACTTTCATACATGTTCATACTGATTAACAACCCGACCCAACTATCGACCGACAAAAAGTTGGCGGTTTGAGCCTAGGCTTAGAGGGACTCTAATTAACTTTCTATGAAAGTAGCAAAATTCACTTAAGTTTGTTAATAAATTGTATCGCTTCGAGCGCAATTTTTATTCCCTGTCGTAAACATTTCAGTGCGGAATTAGAGATTGTTTGCGGTAAGTAAGAATATCGATTCGGAACGGATGATATATTTACTGCTGTTTCGGTTTTACAATCGGCAAGACGGACGTTGCTGTGATTTTTATAAGTTTCCGATTCGATCGTAAACATAAGGCATTGGCGGTGACGTCAGAGTTTCAGAGCTGTCTTGACGCGACCTTCGAGAAGATTACAAAAGTTCAGACGCGTGACGTGAAACGGGTAACGCGTTGTGCATTTGTCTGTGCGATGTCAGATTTTCGACTAAGATTCCTAACTTTGTGGTAGCTTTTGATACATTTTCTGTTAGAAGGTACTCAAAGCGCGCGTGTGTCGTGAACAAGTAGCTTGTTTAACAGACCTGAAAGACAGCTTTTATTTCGATGCCTTAAGAACTTTCTATTTCTTTTACGTATAATGGCTGGTACCTTGAAAACGTAAAATATCTTATTTGCGTGAGTATTAAGAAGTCATCTCCTGGACTGGATGTCACAGTTCTGTGTTATCTGTCAGCAGCTACCTGCAGCACTACTAGGTCATCCACGTATTACCCATAAGTTCGAAGGACTTGTCTGTGACCTACCTTGGCAGAGGCCTACGTCTACGTCCAACAGTGGGCTGATGAGCTGAAATGATCATTGCGATAAAAATCCATTTACCTAAATGCCTTATTATTTTTTTAAAGATACAGGCCGTAGTAACACACACAGACCTTTTTATTGTGATTGCGGTGATTCCCAAATATATTGCACGTAAAATCGTTTCACGTCACCGATGATACGATCTGTGCCGTTCCGATGAGAAAGCGAATCAGAAAATGATTGCTTTGTTGGTTGAATTCCATTTTAGATGACAATCGTATCGAGATAGGGACAATATTAAGCCTCAAACTGAAGGTACACTATTCGCTGATACCGATATTGTGTTCTTAAAAAATCTTTTGAAATAAGTCAACGCTCTGAAGCAAAATAAATGGCAAATGAGGGACGGTTATTTAAAACACGGTCCGAAGATCATTCCATTTTAATTAAATTAAATCTAACGAAGTATAGTCAAAAGTTTTACTTGCTTCTTATTTTGGAGATCACAATTTAAATATAGTCGAGTGTACCGTACCAGCTGGAATTTATTTCTTAATTTTAGGGGTAATTAAGCGTTTCGTTTCATTTTACTTTAAATTACTTTTTGAAGAGAATTATTCTCGTAAATGTTTTTCTTAGTTCATTTTGGATGGATTAATTATTATTAATTAACTGGTTTATTATCAAATGTCATCATCATTTCAGCTATAAGACGTCCACTGCTGAACATAGGCCTCTCCCAATGATTTCCATGTTGCCCGGCTAACCGGGCTATTAGTAGCGGCTTGCGTCCAGCGCCTTCCTGCTACCTTAATGATGTCGTCGGTCCACCTTGCGGGTGGACGTCACACGCTGCGTGTCTGTCAAAATCAAATGTATTTAATACATATATTTTTATGTAGTGATGATATGCATTATTCGTGAGTAAAACACCAGGAAGAGCGATGCGTCAGTCGCTCTGCTCGCTCCAAATACTTACTTTCAGCGTTGTGATTCATAGTAAGACGGTTTATTTTGTCCTTTACTTACGAATTTCTTGGAACGGGTAATTTTTCACACGCGATTTTGGGAAAATTGCAAATGGAAAAATTGTTGGCGTAAAAATGTTAAAGGGTAATGCAATGTTTTGAAATAATCTGGTTAAGTTTAGGAATTCAGAATTTATCAAAATTAAAAAAAAAATTTTAAAACTAAATCCACACGAGTGAGCCGCAGGCAGAAGCTAGTCGTATAAATTAAGAATGAACTTTAGAAGCCCAGTTGCAGTTTGAATATGGCATCGTTTCGAGCCCCTTGCGAAAGGGTGGATGTTAAAGGCATGTCTTAAAGGGCCAGCTAAAACGCAATTTGCTAATGCCTGGCCGTGGCCACCTGAGTCTCAGTGTCATTATTAGAAGATGCCTTCATTTCTATTTGACCCAACAGATGATACAGAAAGGGTTATTTTATCAGTGTTTGACAAGAGCTACCTACCTACTAAAGATGCAGGGAGATGATACATCTTGAATATGATATTTTGCAGTCACATCTTCATATAGTTGTACAATTTTCAGTCTGTAGGTTCCACGGGGTATGAGATAATAATTAACCTTTCAGATTTAAAATAAATACGTTTATTAGATATCTCTAGTTTTACCCTGACAATTAGAGTTAAACGTTCGTGATTCGGCGTCTAACAGGATTCGAACCTGCAACGGGTGTTGTATTGTTTCCAAGGTACCAAAATGCTCAAAAGTCTTCAATTAAAAGGCCCGAAGTTAAATTTTATTTAAAAAACAATTTTCATTTTTTTATTGTAGTTTCAGATTTTCCTAGTTTACGTTAAAGATACTTCAATACGATTCATACTTCGATACGCTTTATGGATGGAATATTAAAAAGCAATCACTTTGCATTTAACGAACGAAGCTTGAGTTAATCAACTGTAGAACCAGCGTGATACGGCTGTAAACAGTGTGATAATAAAGTAGAGCGAACTCCCCGCGTGCACGTAAGAACCGCATTAGTCGCGCGGTGGCCGATACCGCGACCGCGGACTAGGTAATGTCATTTTGTGCATAAGCGGAGCGGAGCGGAGCTTAGAGCGGGTTTCTTACGAAGCTTAATTTGTGTTTGTAGAGCGATTTTACTAAAGGTCCAAGTGTAATCCAGCGCATACTGTGTGACGAGCTGAAAGTACGTTTGTGCACAAGCGTGACTCGGCTATAAGTTATTTTTCTGGCAATTTAAAGGATGTAGATACGTCCCAGCTCATCTGAAGTAGGATTTTTTCAAATGACAATTAATATTTAAAATCTATGCTTGATCTATTGAGTTCTGAGCGTAATTTCAATGTAACTTGGCTACTTAGTTGTAAACTCTTTGAAATAATAAAGTGTTCTCAAAAGTTCATCTAAGAACGATTACCGACAACGCCTGACTTCTCGCTCGTCGCTAAGCTCGCGTATGTAACCGCACCCTTAGTGACTTTCGCATGAAGGTATCTCAAAAAACTGCACGCTAGGGACCTTCGGAATGGAAATGTCGGTGAACTCGTAGAGATAGCGAATATTCACTCCGTTTTGTTGTAAAACGATAGCATGAGTAATTTGAGACCACCTCTTTAGTGGTCTGCTAAGAATATCACATTTTATAAAAGAGGACGATCTTTTACAAAAGCTTTCCATTCTAAGATCTTTCGTCTTTATTTTACAACTGATAATGTTAAATAAAACCAAAGAATGAAATATGAAACAAAGAACTATCGAACTAAACATAAATATTGATTTTCCAGGGTACAGAGATTCCGAAGAAGGTACTTGAAAAGTATACAACGCTTCGGATTGTTTATAGATTTTTCACACGTTGATTACAAACATGAAAGATCTATCAGTCCGACAAGTAGTTTAGGCGTAAACTCTTTAACGACGTAATTAACTCGCTTACTGCTCATGGAGAGATGTTATCGCAATGGAGCCTTTTGTTTGTTTTGTAATTTGCAATCCATCGAGCCTTCTGAACACAGCTTCGCTACAGTTTATGAATAATGTGCTCACGTTATAACTGCAGATTAAAGTCGTTAAAGTGATAAACTCTGTCCAAATCGGCTTAGTAGTTTCGGCGCCAAGATGCTGGGTCAGCTACGTTGCCAGAACCTTTTAGCTCAAGCGTTATGCAGAACCCATAATTAATGCACTGCAGTCGCAATGCTCTCCAAACATATCGTTTGGTTACAAAGCTTGTTTAAAAAAACATTATTTTGTAAGTGCTTACTTACGAAATTGGTGAAATCTTACAATACATGATATTTATTAAGCTTACTGCAACTTATCCATATGTTACTTTGTATGTAAGCACCTGCCATGATTTTTAAACGAAAAGGCAAAATCCACTATTTTCCAGTTTCCATAATGCTGCATTTTTATTTTATCTATGCCCTTTATCCATCAGCCAAGTCAATGCGTAGGCTCATCAGTTTACCTACGCTATATCACTTTTTACATTTTTATTTTATTTTCACGTTATTTTAATGTTTGCAACAGTTGCATCTTTCGCAGGTGACAATGCCGCGACTGAGCGTCGGCAAGGAAGGCCTGTCAGAGAAACGTCAGCTGGAGTGGGAGGCGGCAGTGGAAGCTGTCATACGAGACATCACGTCTCCCACCACCCCACAGGCCAAGCCGCCTATCGTCCAAATAGTCATATACGAATCTTCAGTATAGTCTTGTAAGAATTTGGTACTCGCGATTGCAATGTATTGAATATGTTATGTGTGTAAAGGTGAGAATCTATCAAAGTTTGAAAACTTTATGGCAAGGCCAGCTACATCGAGAAGCATTTGAAAAGAACCCCAACGGAATCTCACCGTTACATTTATAAAAGTACAGTTGTATCTGAAAAGTTTCGCACTGAAAAAATATTCTCTGTCAACGCCAAAGCATTACTTCACCAGGCTTCACTGTAACCTTATAAAGCTTCGAGCAAATTATGTCATTTTGGCGGTAATGAAGATTATCTTTCGGTGCTCCCTATTGTTTGAGCATTCTATTACGCCACAATCACGAGGGCTGATCACGAATGCGTTAGTTCCGCGTGACATTTCTACATTACGGAACTTACACCTAAAGTTCAAGGCCCTTTTATCGATTCTGCAATGATGTGTAACAATAAAGTCACGAGTATGTTATTCTTTACAAGTTTTATGTCCAAGAAAGGCGACAGACACAGTAAATTAAGTCAGAACAGTAATTTTTGGAAAGTTTCGGTCTGTAAACAACTTTTTAATACTGGCCGTTTGTACTTCGAACTTCTTTTTGAGTGCGACTCGTATTTGTTTTTCTTAAAAAAGATATTAACGCACGTGTAATTTCGGTGACAGACAATGACTTTAACAATGGTATGTGGAAACGTTCGCGTGCCAACTTCAGAAAAAATGTGACTTGCTGTTTGTTTGTACATTGAACTTTATGTCTGACGATCCGAAGATGTGTTTGGCGGCCTATTGTCTAGACATGACATGTGATAAACCTAATGTATTCATTTAGATTCTCGTCGAACGTTCAGTGTTAAATAAATTGCCTATTATTTGTACATTGTGTGAATGTGTAAATTCAGGGATTGGTAAATGTTGATGTTTGCGAAGCACTTTTGTAATTAATTTTAAAGTTTAATTGCAATTTTGCAATAATTGATAGATTGTAAGAGTTGTAAATGACATTGGGAACTTTTTGCCCCACTTTTCGAAAAGTAGCGGACACAAACGAAACCTATCACAGATGATACATACTAATATCCAATGAATTTCCGTGCATTTTTTTTTCTCTCTTATATGGGAATATTGAGAAAATGAAGTTTTAATATTTTATTTTATTTTACATTTAGGTAATATTTTTGACGACCTTGGTGGCGGAGAGGCGCACACACCGGTTTTCAAGGTGTGCCGGGCCAATCCTGAGGTCCCGGGTTCGATTCCCGGCCGGGACAATATAGAAAACTATCTTTTCACATTGTCTCTGGTTTGGGTGTGTTGTGGTTCGTCGTTCCCGATTTCCATAACACAAATGCCTTAGCTACTTATTTTGGGTTGGAGTAATATTATATGAGATGTTGTCTAATATTAATTTAAGTATTTATAATATTTTATTTATTTATATTATTTTATTTATATTTTTTAATTATTTATATTATTTTATTTACTTTTATTGGTTACTCTGCAATGCCAAACAACATAACATATAAAAATATGAAATCATTTTAGACAAATATATTTTCAACTTAGACTCGTCATATCTCAGAATTCCCATATATCAAAACATAGCGCTTTAAGTGAATATACCTACAAGTATAAAGCTTTGAAATAAAATACGTTTCATCTTTGTCCGCCGTGGGGCATTTTCTCATATTAAAGTTCCCAATGTCCTTTTCAAATAGATTAAACAGCAATGTGTACCGGTTATAATTTTTATTGTAATGTAATTTCATTGGATAAGTAATTTAATAAAGCTAAGCTGCTGCTTCTACAAGCTTTGTGAATTACGAGGTCATAAAAAGACATGTGTTTACGTTACGAAATCTTTTTTGTTAAACATTTTAAATTACACGAGATTAATATAAGTATTATGATTATACTTCGCTGTAGTTTTATTATTACAATAATTCTAAATTGAAAAGCATTTTTCTTTGAAAGCCCAAGCCAGAAAACAAATTATAGTCTAATAATTTTAAACAGATTTTTAGGAAAAAGATATGAAAAATATAGGGTTAAAATGAAAGTCTACGTAATCAGGACATGAAGTCATAAGAAAAGAAAAAATAAATTGAAGCTCACAGGGTGCACGATAAAAACTGTATGACAAAGAAAAAGCTCACTAGCTGTCAATAACAAATCAAAAAATAAGTCTTAGGCTGAGTTGCACCATCTTATTTTCACTTTAACAAACGTCAAAAATCTGTCAAACTCCATACAAAAAGCACCGGTTATTGTGCAAGTTACGGTCAAAGTAAGTTGGTGCGACTCAGCCTTAGTGTCTACTACATTGCGAATTAAAAGCTTGTTGGTTTTATCAGCGTGCGAAAGAACCAAACATTTTGTTAAGATTTAAAAATTAAATACTGCTAAATCTTTATAATACCTACTTCATACACATATTTTTAGTACAAAAAAAAACTACATGTAAAATGTTAGACTAAACATGCACTATTACTGAATTAGTTTCTTGTATTCTGTTTCAGCCTTGGTCCATTTTGTTACTTCCTACGATCAGTGCGTGGTTGTACTCAGTCTTTCGATTTTATAGCGTAATAAAATATATTCTGCTGTTTGTATAATTCATAATTTATCGCGTAAACACACTGGGATTCTACGGAGCGTGCGAATGGGTGACTGGTGTTAAAGCAAGTGTTGAAATAAACTTTTGTTGTTCATAATTCAACCTTATAATGGCCGTTTAGTGAAGATTAGTATTATGATGGAGATTTAAAAGGTTTACATTCTACTATTAATATAGCGATTCGTTGTAAAAATAGTTGTATAATAAATAAGCAAATGACTCAGTTTAGTTTATTAATTACCGCTCTTGGTTCTAAATATACTTAAGCATTAAAACAAATGATAATCTACTTTCTGTAAGTGGCGTAGATTCACTATTTCTAATGTATGGGAAAATACTGTATGAAATTGAAAAATTTCTAAAGATTTTGAAAAATGCCAAGCTCTTTCTTCTGATTTAAAATTATAAATCGGCATTCCAACCTTACCTATAACCTATTATTGAAACTACACCTTTATCTAAACATGTTATTTAGGTAACACTCGCAGGACGTCGAAATTCGGTATCCGCGATAAGCGTTTGAAGAGAATGTCAGTAACTCACAGTTGGGCAGTAACACTAAACAGTAGCAGGTATTACATGCGCATTACTGGTTATTTTTAGCAGTAATGTTTCGAACAGCTCTTAAGTAGAACTTTTATATTTTTAGAGGCATCCTTGTTCTATTTCGGATGAATGCGACGGTACTGCTTGTCTGTTGTGCCAGTGACTCAGTTACTTGTCGATACTTCCCTGAAATAGTTTTCCGATATGGTTTTTGGTATGATGCGGACTCAATATGACTGCTCGGAGTTGCGTCAGCTAATAGTTTTGTGAAAAACGATTTTCATACTGATTCTTAAAACGCTTGGCTTGAGATATTATACTTCAGAAGAAAAAGCTTTAACGGTTATAATGTTTAAAAACCTCTCACTTGGAGATAATGTATATTCTTCTTCTTTTCGTGTCGACAACAAACCTACTCAGTGTCAGCCCAAAACTTCGCCACAAGTATTACAAGTATATTAGAAGACGTCTATAAAAATGTTTCGAAGTGGTTAATCTTATTTATATGGTTTCGCATTTTCCCTCCAAAGCGCAAAGGCTGAGTCAGTATATTTACTGCTTACTTACTTACTTAAATAGCTAACTCTACAATGTGCGAGTCCCAGCTTTCTTAATATCAGCTAATACGTTTCGTTTTCATAAATCAAGGCCGAGTCCACATGTCGGAGTCACAAACCTATTCACATTATGATCCGAAGGCTTGGGCGTGCCTGTGAAACTTGCTTTTATGACCGGGCATTAGGGAAATGTGTCCAACAATCACTTTATCGTCTGTGCTTTAACGAATAATATTACTACTATTAAAGGATGCAGAACGGTGTTTCTGTAAAGTACCTATGGCTTCACTTTCTTTCAAAGACCAATTGTAACTGGCTTTAGGTGTAGGTACGAAGTAAATGGCGTAGATAATTAAGTAATAATCATTACGACAAAAGAAAATGAATTACCCTGCGTTCTATTAAAATGTTTGGAGTATTAATCAGGCATTTTAATTGTTTAATTAAAGGCTGATTACATGAATGTCAATGTAATTAGTATATTGATTAATTGGTTTGATTGTACCAATTAAAAAACCGTAACCCTTAATTTAGAATCTCTTGATTTTATTTTTCTTTTTAATTAGGCGGTGAAGAATAATTACTGGCTCCTATATAAAAGCTCTACAAGAGTGCTTGTTATAATTTCCACCGATTTTCTTTCTATCAGTTTGATATATTCTATCAACGCAGCCACTCTTAATTTATCGTTTTAAAATGAGCAGAGAAGAAATTTTATTCGAAAAGGCTTTGAAAAAAGTAAATGCTATGCTAAAAGTCTCAGGCACATACTTCGATGAAGAAGATATCAACAGAAATGTCGTCGAGCGTTTCCTCAGTCGGAGATTCTACTGTTTCAACATCTCCTGGCTCGTCAGTCATATAATCGGGGAGTTCTTGTGGGTCATTGATGGAATTAAAACAAAAGCAAGCGTCGTGAAAATGACGTATCTGATACCTTGCCTGACATTAAGCCTTTTAGGCTGTTGCAAGTCCTACTTTCTGATTCAAAACGGCAATCTAGTCAGCGAACTTATTAGAGCCCTTAAGTTAATGCAGTCTGATAGCGCTAAATCGGGGCTTAAGACTAAAATAGAGAATGAGTTGAATAAGCGATTGGTAGTTCTTAACATTGTGATGACCACGAATAGCGCTCTGGATGCGTTCGGTCTCGCGGTGTTTGCGGTAGGCCCGTTGATCATTACGTGGCTCCTGTATAACTCGACTGGGAAACTTGTGATGCAACTGCCATTCCTAGCCAAGTTTCCTTTCGATGAGACGGATATAAGGTTTTGGCCGCTTGCCTACCTTCACCAGATATGGGCAGGTAGGTATGTTTGGTCGTAATAGTGAGATCAAATAAAAGATGAGTTTTGATTGGTTTTTTAAGAGACGCATTGGAAGAAATAATTGTAGAGCTGTAACTATTATAAGCTTGTCTTCAATTGTTACAATTTCTTAAATATTTTTTAAAATGTTCTCATAGGATTCATAGCAGTATCAACAGTCCACGGGCCTGACAGTTTCTACGCTCTATCGTGCACCTTCCTCTTAATCCAGTTCAGAACGCTACAGTACGATATAGAGAGCATTATTCCTGAAAATGTAGACTTCAGTCAAGTAGAGACGCAAAATGAATTTAAAATACGATTGAACAATATTGTTCGACGCCATGTTGAGCTTATAAGGTACGAGTAAGTCGCTAGGTACTCATTTAGTAAACTTTACGGAATATTATTCGATTACGATACGAATCTATGTATTTCAGATGCGTAGATATAATAGAGACAACATTCTCGAAATCGACTCTGTGCAATATCTCAGTGAGTTCGCTCGTGATGTGCATTTCTGCCTTTAATATTACGGTAGGTGACAAACAAAGTTCAAAACATTATCAGGCTCAGATGTAACCTTCCTGGATAATTGATTGTTAATCAAAAGTTAAATGTTCGCATTTATTTTCAGACCATAGATGATTTCTTTCTGATGGTGCCATTCATTGCATTCCTTATCATGTGGACCTTACAGGTGTTTGTTCTCTGTTACTACAGCGACATGCTCATTGAGTCTGTAAGTTTACACCAATAAATTGTTATTATGTATTACCTAAGTGAACATATTGTAGTTAGAAAAAGAAAAATCCTGTAAAATGTCAATCTTTAGTACCTAAATCTAGACACTTTCATATTTTAAACATATTAAATTTATGTTTAGCTCTTATAAAAAATGGCAAGAAGACATAGAAATTTTAGATTTGTAATATAAATATGAGGCCGTTACGAGTATGAAAGCTTTATTTTTGTTTTTTTATTTACAGAGCTCTGAAATAAGTAACGCTGTTTACAGAAGTAAATGGTATAAAGCGAATTCGGTCGTGATGAAGGATTTACTTTTTGTTTTGAGAAGGTAATATCAATACGTCTATGGTATTTTAGATATTGATGCATTTTTTTATCCACCACGAGGAAGCTCTTGGCCTATATCTCACCTGATAGTAAGTGACGATCAGGCCGAAGGTGGAAGCGAGCTTTACCCGGAATCCTTAACCACGGAGGAACTGGCTATCTTACCTCTAAGTAACTGCCGGAACATAACAATGCTGTTAACATTGTCATTGTTAACATTTCTTTTTCTTTATTACTACAACACACTACAAATAGGTAACTAATTATATTGTTTTCACAGATCCCAAAAACCGTGTAAACTAACTGCACTAGGTTTTACTGATCTGAACCTAAGAGTCTTTTGTAAGGTAAGATCAATCTTGCTCTGAAGATTATTTAAGTCAAAAATAATACCTTTTTATTATTTTCCTCTTTTGCTTGCAGATTATGAGTTCAGCGTGGTCCTACTTTGCTCTACTGCACACAGTTTACAATAAATAAAACACATAGGTAAACCTATATTTATTGTAAATTAGTTTATGAGCAAATCATTAATTTTATGAGTGAGTGATAAAGTAATATAGCCAGAGAGACTCTAGTTTTTGCTTTTAAACATCTTTTAAACCTATGTAAGGTTTCGATGCTAAAAGTTGAAAATATTTTAGTGATATAAAAGTAGGTCCTATCACTTATATGATGCTATGATTCATATACATATACATGTTCCCCACGCCTTTCGGTATACACAAGTTCCGTCCCCGCTAATCATTCCCCGGCTATAAATGGGATGATTTACTACGCACTATAAACGCATGTTTTCGTAGAGATCTATACAATTTGTAGAGCCGTGTCGTTCAATCAAATTGTCACGGAATTGATTTTAACGATGTAGTTCGTACAAAGGTATTCGGTGTTTTGAAAAAAAAAAAAGGTAAGAATGTAACAAAAGGGACATTAAATGCTTGTCGATAAATTGGTGATTTTATTTTCTTCTTTGATTGATTAGGTCAAATCCTGAAATTGTTATCCAATTTAAATAGTGTTCGTGACTTTTATAAGTAGGTACCTATGTTTATCAGTTTAAATATTAAAGTTATCATTTATGGACTTACAAAGGCTTACGTACTCCAAATTTAAGCTTAAACATAAAGCCACGTCGCGTTCAACAGACATAAGCTCAATTACCTACTAAAATTTTACGTTTGTATTAAAATTATGTACTTATCAAAATTTCAGTTCGGGAAACTGACTTTAATCAAGCCATCAAACTCAGCTCAATTTGTAAATTGTGATTATGTTTACGCTTTATTAAACAACTAGCTGACCCGGCGAACTTTGTTCCGCCTTAATGGCAATAAATAACGGGATAAAAAGTATCCTATGTCCTTCTCCTGGCTCTAAACTACCTCCCTGACAATTTTCAGCTAAATCAGTTCAGCCGTTCTTGAGTTATAAGTGGAGTAACTAACACGACTTTCTTTTATATAATAGAAGATGTTAGTAGGTTCCTACATTTTGTCAAATTACAGATTAGTTGAACGTGAGTTGCTGAATTTCTGAATAGGTTTATGAAAATACAACGTAACTCGTAAATAATTCACATGAAAATTAGTTTCATATAGGTATTTTACCAATATTCCTGGTCAATCAGTATGGACTAAAACACCTACAGTCTTTGACGACAATAATTTGCGGCAGTTTTCCAATAAACACTTCTTGTTATTTGGTATCTTTCTATAAACAAAAGATGCAATTTGTAGCGAAAATGAGACACGGATAAAATGGCAATTTACGAGCGCGAAGAAGTCCAACAAAAACAGACATCGCCTCTGAATACCCTGAATTAGTAGAGGAAATAATGCGGACCAACTCGCAGTCAGCTCATTTGCCCACTATTGTGAAACTAACTTGGTTTTTCGTTAGATCTCCTAGATAATTAGATACTGTGAAGAATGGATTCAAAGATTTGCTCAGTTAATTTGATATTTGATATTTCATACTGATAAAGAATTTGAATTATGTCTCTACTCTCTAAGATAGGTACAAGATCAATTAAAAAAACTGTTACCTAACCTACATATTATACTCAAAAAGCTTATGATTATCCTGGAAATATTGATCGATCAGTAAATTTCCTGAACTATCAGGTAAGCTTGGCAGAAAATTGCTAGCTGGAACTATAATTTATATGCGTTTAAAATATAAGTTCTGCTGCTAAAAGGAATAAAGCCTAGATTATTACAGTGAAAGCCAGTAAAACTTTTCTTTTACGTGACGTTCCAACATAATTTCATATTTTATGCTAGCCACGGTGAATGTCGAGTTATGACTTATTGTAATTAACCCACGGTATTTTACGTTGTATAAATAATAATTATAAGTTGACTCGAAAGGAATTTGAGTTAAACGTCTTATTATGTAGTCATTCAACGGTGTTGTAATTAAGCCTGTCTAAATTTATCATTTAAACGTACAGAATATCTACTAGGGAAAAAGAATAGGATTTTTGATAAGGCGATTATTTATTACTAATGTTTATTCTATAGTGCAGCAGGCACATAAACGTAACGGAGTAAAACCTAGTACCTACTTAGTACTCGTAGTACTATTGTAGGTTTAAAGAACATTTATTTCCCATTAAAAACATTACAGTCACTTACATGAGAAATTAACAATTTTTATATGTAGGTAGATAATTTACAAGTTGTCGTGAACCACTTTTCTTTCACGACTATAAAAATATTTTAGCAATTTAATTCACAAAATCAATTGCGCACATTTAAAATAAAGTTTGTTTACACTTTGACAGCAATAGACTGACATGCAAGGTGACATGTCAATGAAGTTTTCAGTTACTGTTGCCATTAAAAGAAATTAGTACCATTAGTTTTCCGCAACATGGCGAGGGTTTTTATGTTCCTGGTCAGGCTATACTATTTTTATCGGCCGTTTGGTGTAGTGGTTCGAAACGGACTACTATGCCGAGAGGTCCCGGGTTCGATTCCCGGCCGGGCAGAAATTGAAATGATGAATTTTAATTTGATGGGTCTGGGTGTTACTATGTGTAATATGTATGTATTTACAAAAAAAAAAAGTATTTAAGTATGTTTATATCCGTTGTTTAGTACAAGTTCTGCTTAGTTTGGGACTAGAAGCGTTGTGGAAAATGTTCAAGGATATTTATTTATTTACTATTGTACTTTCTACTTACCCTTTAGGATGATCTTGGTTTGTGTTGTTTTGTGTATTCTGAAATGGGTTGATTTAAATCAGATTAAACATACTCTTATCTACTTCGTAAATATACCAGATATTCCTTATTCTATGACCTATGTTTGCTGTGATAACAACATTATTAGCGGCTCGGCTGACCGCTCATAAATCATGCTGTGTAAAGGCGGTGCTTTACGGTTATTTATGTCCTTAATAGATATTTAGTGAATCGGTAGGTATTTCAGGCGTCCTGAGATTCTTGTCGCTCGGATTTAGGGCAGTGTTACCTTGAGCCCGGGATTGTCTTGTGACTTAGGTACCAATATATTTCAGTGCTTATCTTTTGACTGATTTGTGGGCCAAATGTGGTAATTTTTGTTTTATTCTTTATTCTTATTCCTGGAAAATATTAAGCAACTTTGTTTAACATTGAGTAATACAGGAAAGAATTATAAAACAACTAGCGGCCGCCCGCGACTTCGTACGCGTGGATCCTGTTTTACCCCCTTTTCCCGAATTTTCTTTGCTATAAACCTCACGGAGCCCGAGACCTTTCCAACGAGTGCAAAACCGTGGAAATCGGTTCGTGCGTTCTGGAGTTATAGCGTCAGGGAGGAAAACCCGACTTATTTTTATATAGTAGATTGCAAGGCTGAAATAATTTTAGGATAGGTGATATTATGTGATTACGATACAATCTATTTTTCACAGCTCTACAATTCTCTGTACTCATTTTATTTAACAGATCCTATTGATTGAGGCCCATACTGTATCTGACGGCTAAAAAACTTCATCTAATAACGATTTAATCAATCTTGCGCGATCAATAACTAAGTGATGTTTTTTGTTACAATTGAAATCCATGTTTTCAGCTCTATTATCCGTTCCCAAGCCCATTTTACACACAATGTAGTGTACCTATTTATAGTATACACTATCATTATTGAGCCTGCAATAAACCGTTTGATTTACGGCCCACAACAGATGTTCCGCGACGCATCCACTGTAAACAGATTGTGAATTAGTTTTGTCTACAAGTCTAATAATATTAGATGTATCCCATTAACTTTTAATATGTATTAATGAATTACGACTTGTTACGAGCTTGTCCAATGAACTCTTTGCTTTTGTTTTCTTGTGTAGTAAAGTATCATAAAATCACTACAATAATGTAGGTTATTACGGAGGACTGCTATCAAGACGAAACTAAGGCGTCTTGCGATTTGGGATAAAAATGTAAGTATAATAAAATTTAAGTGCTATTGATGGTAGGTACTTGTTGGAAATATCCAATAGAAAAATAAATTAACCACTTGCCGTCCTTTTCATGAGTAAATTGAAAAGGAAAACCAATCAAATCGAGCCGCCAGTGGATGTCTGGATTGTCTGGACCCTTAATCGATTGTAAGTAGGTATGTACAGACGACAGCACATCAAACTAAACACTTTTGCATCTTAAGTAGTTGTGATAGGGTGTATTTTGCCATAAAAATGATAGCTTGATGTGCTGTCGTCTCTACCTAGCTAGTACCACTAGTACCACAACTAGTACTTTGTCAAGCTCCAAACACACCAACGCGTGCAAATCGTCATCGCCGCCGGCGCGATCATAGGCCAATGACAGGTCACCATCGCGACCCATGACAGTCCTCATGGGTTGCGATGGCGATCTGCACGCGTTGGTGTGGTTGAAGCATAAGTTTAATTATTTTCAGAGCATAACGAATGACGTAGTTTGATAGTTCCTGGGATAATGCGTAACTTCATGGGAAAAAAACCTTCCGGCAATCAATCGCCCACGGTCTGATAAACTGAAGAAGTCGAGTATTTTATAGTTTGCTTCTTCTAGGAAGATGCGCATAAAGATGTCAAAATATTATTCTTGGAGTGTGAACTGATGGATGACGTGTGAGCCAAAGGTAACGGGTATTTTTATCGGCGTGTGCAAGCAGCTGATCTGAATAAAATTCTAAAGTTACCTGAAATAATGGGAAATAAGAGCTAGGTTAGTAGCTAATAACTGTATTGTATTTGATTCATTTCTTAGTTACAATGAATGTGCAAACCTAACTTGAAATTCTGATGATAATATTTCATCCTTGAAGCAAAGTGAGATAAATACTATGGTCTTAGGATTTTGGATGAATTAAATTGAAAAAGCTGATTATGATCACTTGCAACCTAGGTCCTGCCTGGGACATTTCATGAGATTCTCTAGTTTATTTTAGCTTTACATTCAATGTTTCCGTCTATTAGAACTTCCAACAATCTAGGTACTTTATATTAGT